AAATCTGTATAACAAAAATTTTATATATATAAAAAAATTAATACTAGATTAGAATTAGAGTTAGGGGTAGTGTTAGTGGTTAGCAGTTAGGATAGAGTGTAATATATACCAAAATTTTGCAAGAAATTTTTTTTGTTAAAGCTCAAAAAGCAGTTTTATAAATAGTATTTCAAGCTATTTCAAAATTTCTTTATTTTTATTATACAAAATTAATTTGTATATTATACCTGATTTTCAAATTTAATTAGTCAATTCTTAAAATGCAATATATAAACACATTATAGTATACAATACTTAATTAAATCTTTTTTTAAATATTAAAAATAAAGTTTTAAAATTAGCAAGAAATATGATGATATTAGTAAAGCAAATAAAAATAAGATTTTACAACAAATTTTTATTATATTTAGCTTATTTTATAGTTTATTTTTATAACTAAAAAATATTTTAGATACTAATCTTAGAATTTCTAATTTATTTATTTACAAATTATTTAGTATAAAAAAAGATTGCTTAATTTTTATTAGCAATTGTGTAAATAAAAAATTTATTTTTTTTTTTTGGTATTAAGATAATCTTTTTGGCTAAGGATTTTTTATTGTTATTAACTTCAGGTTATAATTACAATGAGAGTATATCAGGCTACATATGCACTTTTGGTATCTAATTTAAGTAGTCTGCCTAAAGGTTCTATACTAGCTACTATATTTGCATCTTAACTACAGTAATATCTATTTAAACTCTCTAGTTACAACTGCTATTTATTTTTAACTTAACCAACATGTTACTTACTATTCATTTGTAAATTTTGCAATATCTAGATTTTGTACCTACCTTAAAACTTACTAACTATTAGCTAGTCTATTCATGAGATAAACCTAACAGAGTAGTTTATATCTCACATATGTTTTTATTTGCATATTTGGTAATTTTTTTTCTAATTAGTACCTGTTGTACTGCTACTACCAAGTTTATATTCAAGCTATTCTTTAGAATACTGCTATAATATAATTTATATCTCAAGCCACAATCTTTCTAATTAGTTTTTTATTATATACTTCTTGTTCTTGTAAAGTTCATACAACTCTAGTACCCACATTTGAACTTTTTTTCTTCCTCAGATTCTTTATTAGTTTCTTTCTTACTTTTAGCTAGCAACTTGAAAAGGTCAGTCTACCTAGGCTTTATATACCTCATAGTCTCTCTCCCTTTGATATATGCTTCTAAAGCATATATTTTTTTTTCTAGTTGATAATCTGGTGATTCAGCTGATGTGTTTCTCTACTAAAGAACCTAGTTGCTTGGTTCTCTAATTTTAGTTTCTAGTTACAAACTCAGTCTTCCTGTAGCACTACCAAAGGTCATACTACCTTCCAACTTGGGACTTGCCAAATGGGTTTTTGGTTATTCTAGTTTCTTAGATTTATTGTATTGAAGCTCCTATTTTAGATGATATAACCAAGATTACAAATTAGAGCCCAACCAATAGTAATAGCTATTAACTATATTACAAGGCTATTTTTCAAAAATGTTATTCATGAAATTTGAACTTTAGACCTGCTATCTGAGGATATGACAATTTCACTACTTTACTAAGTCATTACATCTTCAAATAAAAAATTTAGTTTAAAAGCAAGTAAATTATATATATATATATTTATTAAATATATCAAATATTGATATGGTGGCTTAGTGAAGTAGTTTAGTTATCATTTTATCAAATAGTAAACCCAAAGTCTAAATCTTATAAATAACATTTTTAAAAAATAAACTTGTAATATGGTAATGATTATCACCAATCAGTTAGGTTCTAAAATCTGTAATCTTGATAACTCCATGTTCATATAGAAGCTTTGGCATATAAAAGACTAGAAAATAATGATTAAAATCTATTTGGAAGGTTCTGAATAAAGAAGTAGCAGTAACCTTTGATGGAGCTACAAGAAGACTGAATTTGAAACCAGAGACCAAAATTGAAGAGCTGAGTGACCAGGTTTTTAAGTGGAGGAACACACTAGCCAAACCGCCGGCTCGCTACTGAAAGAAAAGGACTTGTGCTCTGGAAGTATATATCAAGAGGAGGGAGACTGTAAGGCACTTAAAGTCTGGGCAGACCAACCCTTCTGGGTTGCCAGCTGGAAGTAAGGGAGAAACTGGTAAGGAATCCGGAAAAGAAGGAAGTTGAAATGTAGGTACTAGGGTTGTTGTGAACTTTGCAAGAACAGGAGTATATAAGCAGAAACTAATTAAAAAGGTTGTGGCTTAAGATACGGATCAGATTATAGCAGTATTCAAAAAGATAACTTAAAATATGAGCTTGGTGTTGCAAAAAGGGTGAAAATCGACAAAACAAAAGATCTTCTGAAAATTAATTTTTATTGTTGTTAATTTATAATAAATCCTAAGAAAATACAAATTTTAAAAAGCTATACTACAAAATTTTATTAATACAACTGCTTTTTGTTTTAAGTAAAAAATAATTCTAATATTATTCTAAATTGATTTGTGTAAAAATAAATTTTTTAAAAATTTGTCAATTTCTCCTCTTTTTGTAACACCAAGCCCATATAAACCCAGTAGTGGTAGCACAACATGTACTAGTTAGGGAAAAGTTACTGAACATACAGATGAGTGCATGTATAGAACATGTACTGCACTATTAGGTTTATTACAAGAATAAATATCTATGTAGCTAAAGTTTTAGGGTTATTTCATGGCATTGCTAATCTCAATAGAGTGTTAGGGTAGGCGTGTTACAAAGATGGAGCCAGAGGGTTTAAATAGGTATTCCCTATAGTTGGGATGCAGGTATGGTAGCTATTGTAGAACCTAGAGCAGACTATTTAAATAGACAACCAAAAGTTGTATGTATAGCTAGTTGTACTCTTATTAGTAATAATCAAAGAGCTTAAATAGGTAATCTCCTATTTAAATTGCAGGTATGGTAGCTAGTGTAGAACTCAGGTGGATTACTTAAATTAGGTACTAAAAGTATACATATGGCTAGTTGTATTCTCGTAAATTTGATGTAATATTATAACTATCTGAATAAAGCTAAGTGCTAGGGGCCTAAGTGATCACTTTAATATTAAAAAAAAAAATAATTATATTTCAAACTATAATTTTTTTAATTAATTATTTATTACTTATTTTTATTCTTGTAAAGTTTATATTAACTCTAATATTTATATTTAAACTTTTTTTTTTTTGAAATTTTAACTAGTTTTTTTTTTATTTTTAGCCTATAGCCTAAAAAGGTTAAACTTTAAATACCTCTAGTCTGTTTTTTCTTAATACATACTTTTAAAACATTTTTTTTTTTTCTTTAGTATAATAAAACTAGCAGCTAGACTAGTGAATTTTTCTATTTAAAAATCTGTTGCTATTTAGTTTTTTAATCTCAATTCCTGGTTTCAAATTAGCCTTCTTGTACACTATTAAAAATCTTAATTATTTTTCAACTTTAGATTTTCTAAACAGGTTTTAATTATTCTAATTCTTTGAATTTTTACACCAAGCTCTTATTCTAAATAGTGTTATTAAAGTTACAGTTTCTAAATTCAACCAATTATTAAATAATCATCATTATATCACAGGCCTATTTTTCAAAATCATCATCCAAACACTAAACCTGCTGCTTGGAGGGGTGACAACCACCACTTCACTAAATCACCACACCCTTACAATACAGTATTTAATATATGGTATTTAAAATAATATAACTCAAAAATAAATAGTAATTTTTTTTCTGTATCATAAGATATTAGCTTTTGAAATTATTTAGTCTTTAAATATCGTGCACTGTAGCTAAAATTAAATTAAATTACAACTTAATTTATGGTTCAACCCGTAGCTTTAAACCATGGTTTAAACTGTAGTTTAAGATATTACAGCTTAAGTCACGATTTATCTGGCTTTAGCGACGCATAGCTTAGATTATAGCCAATAAAATTATGACTTAAGCTTTAGCGAGCTATTCTAGCCGATTGCATCTTTCTTTCTGGTATATATAAACAAATAATTTATTAATCTATACACGATGATATAAACGAAATCTATAAAATTGTAATAAAGGTATACCAAATAATTAAAAGTATCCTATCATCTAATCTTTCTGAAATTCAAATACCGCAAATGTTCTACACCGAATTACGATGATCACAATATCAAATACTTTAAAAAATTACAAAAATAAAGAATAAAATCCAACTTAAAATTAAAACCATAACGAAAGTTGTAACATAAGCCCAATTTCGTCTTGATGGATATGTAACCTTTGTGTGTATATCTTGACCATCGTAGCTGTTACGTCTTTCCTGCCCTTGTTGATCACGTTTTGCTCGTATCTCCTCATAATATTTACTTCTTTCGTCTTCTTTCATGTCTATTATTCCATCGTACCACTTGCTTGCTATAAATGACAACCATACAGCAACGAGAACAGCAATAATACTGGTAACCAAATACAAATGCATAACCAGTCTGTATTCACCACCATCTATATCTTGCAATATACCGACAATAATGTCATATAAGGTCGAACCAATATTTGAACAAGATTTTATAATTCCCAATCCTGTACCAACATAATCTAATGGTAGTATAATTGGAATTGATGAAAGTAAGGATACCGGTCCGAGTGAAAGAGATATTGAAAATAACAACATTACTATAATTGAAGATATCATAGTAAATCCAATAAGAAACATTGAAAGAGTTAGGAAAACCGCAGAAGCTATCACTAATTATTATATGATTGATGAAATAAATAAGTTAGAAGCTGAATAATCAAGACAAGGAAAGAACATTAGACAGCACGTGACCTACATGTGGCGGAACGTCTACCGTATCTGTCCAAAAGATAGCCAAGAAAAGGGGCTATGAATATTGGTAAAAATTGAGCAAGACTAGAACGCGAAGCAGCCTCATCATCCGAAATACCCTCACGGGTTTTTATCAATTCACTGATTATAAATGATAAAAATTAATTGTAAATTGAATAAAAATTACTATATAAATACTGTGACCAATAACCGCAGCTATATTCAGACGTCAACTGGTCAAAATTATATAGTTAGGATTAGGGCCACTTTAAAATGCCAGGCAAATAATAAACACCTGAGATGCATTAGCTGTCACTTGAGGTGAACACGCCCAAAAGTGAAAAATACATACGTGTGTATATGTAAAAATGAAGTCCAGGAACTACCAAATTCAAATTCAAGCAATACAAAAATCCAATAAATTGTTGGTAGATATAATAATTTTCTAGGATTAAATGACTTTTTTTGTTTAAGTTTTTGAATTTCTTGCTCTGAGAGATTTTCATTAATTATCTTCATAACAAATATATAAAATATATTGATCACTAAGGAAATCACACATAGAAATGCTGCAAACTAAGATATAAAATATTGATTAATATAATATAGTAGGAATCGAAAAGACGTTCATATATATCATGAAAAAAAAATTATTATTATTATTTTTTTTTTTTTACCCAAAACGACCAACCATAAAATCCAGTAACATTCGCTATTCGAACAACGGTCAAATTTGCCAAGAATGATGACTTTTGAAGAAATAAAATTGATAGTTATATTAAACATAAGTTAGCTACAAAATTTTCATAGCATTAATAAGATTCTTACCAGTCTTGACGTAGCAATTTGTACTCCAACTGCTATCGACAATCCTTTCCCTTTAAACCAGTGACTAAGAATGGTAGTTTGAACAGTGACAATAGTTCCACTTCCGATTCCATAAAATATTCTACCGAACACCATCACAGGAAATGATGCCAAATTAGTGGATAATGCTACTAAAATATTTCCCACAGCAATGAGTGATGTGGCCAAGATTGACCCAGTTGATGTTCCAAATGTATCAATAAAGACACCACCAAGGATTGGTAAAATTGTGTTAACTAGCGACACAGAAGACTGTATTATTCCATATTGAGAATTTGTGATGTCTAACTCCTAAAATTATATAAGTAATTTCAATTATAAAAATTAATTGGAAAAACGAAAGATCAGGAGATGAATTACCTCTTTAACTTTCGATTTCAAAGCTCCTAATGTATGAGCAGCATAGTGACTTCCAACTACATTAAGCCAAAATATTAAAATAAAATTATGTTTGACATATTATTAGCCCCAAATGTCGGTACGTACCAGACAAAGATAAGGCGCACACTAATGCAAAGATTTTATATTTCCATGGTCGATTGAGCTCTTCCTCTGTGATATCAAACTTATCGTCGTCGTCATTAAGTAATGAATTACTCTCATTACTTTCAGGTCTGTGAACACCGTCAGCCGAATCTATTGACGAGCGAACAGGCAAAGCAGTGTATCCTTGCTCATTCGTAGAAAAATGACGATTATTTTCTGATGCATAAAATGGATTTGAAGACATTATTTTGCTTTTGAATTAATTAATGTATAGTAATGTGGAAGAACCAAGAAGTCCATCATTTAAAAGAAAAAAAATCTGATAAAAAAAAAAATTAGTCATCCTAAATTGGTTAAATTAGTAACATAATTAAAACTTTATCGTTAAGAAATCTGACTAATCATAAATTTGTATTACGTATTCATGTGTTAAAATCTGATAACTCAAAAAGGGATATCTGATCCGGTTATCAGATTCCTTTTGTCGTACGTAAACGGGGAAGTAAAGAAAGGAAAAGTTCATTCTCATATATAACAAATCGATATCAGATAAGGTTTCTTTCTTTTCTTATCAATATCACGGATGATTTCGGGTATGATAAAATACTTAAATGCAAGGCGTAAATCGAATTAGATAAGTAAACTCTTGAGCCTATACTTTTTAAAAACTTTAAAATCTTCAAAATGCAATGGTTGTTATCTTCCAATCACATCATAATTTTACTACACAATAGGGATGTCCACTTCTATAAGACTGGTTCTTAGTCCGTCGAAAAGTAATGAAGTTAGTATAAAGACTTAAATCGTGTGACATCAATAATCGAATTAGCCCATAAAATAAAATGTATCATATGACGACATTTTTCAAACATATGAATGCCATCACGAAATAATATCTTTGGCTAAAATTAATTCGTCAAATTTTAAAGATATTACACTTGAGGAGATTATTTAATTATTTACATGCTTCAATATTGATCCCAAAATTGATAAATTATAATCAAATGAGTATTATTATTAAAATATTTATCGCTGTTATTCTTGGCAATAAAAAAAAATCGTAATCTAGAATTTAATTCTGATAAGCTTGTGGGACGATACTAGGATCGATAAAAAACGACATGTAACTTAGCCATTTTTTTAAATATATAATATGAAGTCCAGTAGAAGTCCAAACTCTAGTTTCAAGACCGAAAACTGAATAACCAGTACTAGTTTAGAGACAGATCATTCTATATAACATGGTTCAATAGTACAAGTAGTACACATGAAACCTTTTTGCTCAAAAAAGAAACTTTTTACATGCATTACTTGGAATTATAATTTTTTTTGCAAAATGATATATATATATTTTATATTTTTTTTGTTTCATAATGATTTTTTCAATACTCAAAAATTGGTGGAAATATTTCGGAATTTTTTACGTTCTAACGAAAAGAACACATATGCATGAAATAAAAGTATATCGGTGTAGGAAAAATGAGAATCAACTAAATTTTTAAAATAACATTAGGAATAGAATACTAATAGTGGTTTTTTTTTTTTTTTTTGAGAATGTGTTAAAGGAAAAAAAAATTTGCTAATAATTAATTGACTTCACAAAAAAAAAAAAAACTATATAATGACATTATAATACTTTTTAATATCAAAGTGTGAATTTTTGTACACAATAAGTAATTTTAGGTTTAAAGGAATAAATAAGCAATAAACGCAAAAATAATACTCTAGTGACAATAAAATTAGAAATACAATTCAACCGCACCTTTTTAACAAATTATTCAAGACGTAGGTAGGAAAAAATAAACATAGTCCATTAGATGTCAGTACACCAAATTTTTAACATTACTGTCATCACTCTTCTTCCTCTTCCTCCACGATCACTGAAGGTTTTGGTGTTGCAATTAGATTTGGTCTCCGTGGATTGCTTAGAGGGCTACTTGAACTCGTATAACTTCGCCGTGAATTTGTGGTATTATTATTATTATTATTATGTTTAAACAGAAGCTTCGCATTATTGGGCCCATTTGGCGGCGAGGGCGGAGAATCTTTCTCGGATGTTTCATTATGCGAAGTAATATCCTCAGTCTTGCTATTATTTATATTGTTTCCAATAATTGGGGAAGAATATGAACGGCTATGATGTTGGTGGCGCAACTGTGAAGGTCTGTTTGTATGCGGATGTGGTGCTGTCGATGATGAGGAAGACGTTATTATTGGTGATGGCAATTTTGGTGAGTCTGGTGGCGTGGACACAAAATCCATCATTGATTGTGTAGGAACCTGCGGCTTTTCAATAGGTGGAATATAAACGTCCCTCTGTTTCCCTCCTGATCTTGAATTCAGCGTAGTAGGTAATGAGTTAAGACGTTGGTGTCCTTTTTTTGGTAATGTAGGTGAAACTTCGGCATTGCTATCCGCTGGAGATAAAGGTGGGGAGACTGGTGTCGACGATATTATAGAAGTTAAATTGGAATTATGGAATAGGGTATAAGGAAAAGTGAGTGGATTTATGATGGTTCCGTAGGGTTTAAGTATAGGTGAATCATTAGATAAAGGGGATGCAGCAGCAAAATGTGATGGTGATGGCGTACGGGATCGTGGGTGAGATGCAATTTCACTTGAAGCATCAATAAATATATCAGATTCCTCACCGTCATCACTGGAGGTCACATCCTCTTTTATTTTATGTGACGACTCATCTACTTTTTGTACATCTATTTTCTTCTGCTTAGATATCGACGGTTCAGAGTTGTTATTCTGTATGAGTGGTGGTGGTGTAGGTGGCGGTGATGCTAGCGTAATTGTTTTTGATTTTGAAGATTCTACTATTATTGTTTGTCCATCTATAGTTAACGTATCATTTTTTACAATATCATCAGAAATGTTCTCTATCGCACTTGTTTCAAAAGTGTCCTTATCCTGATGATTATTAGCATTCTCAGATGAGCCTGATCCTGATCCAACATCAGCATCCAAATTTTCCTGTATGCTGCTAATTGAACTTCCTCCTGTACTCCGTCGTTTTACTTGTTTACGCCCCCATGAATTTCCTGTATTATAAGCAAATGGGTTTCTACGATTAATGGTAAACATGGTTTTATGCCTAACCGCTGGTGGTGTCCCGGGAATAGGTGACATACCCATTGGAGAATTATTTGAAAGAACAACAGAAGGTGTAACAGGAGGAATAGACAAAGGCGCAGTACTTGAACGACGACTTTTGTTACCCTGAAAAGAATTTCGATTCTTCTTTTTCTTGTCTCTTATTGACCCACCACGAGATATCGAAGATGATCTTCTTCGAATGTTATAGTTACTAGCACTATCATATGATAATGGTGTTTTACTATCATTCCTCTTGTTAAGACGTGTTCGTGAACGTGCGACATCAGCAGGAACCAAAACTCCACTTTCAGTCAAGTTCAGCACGCTTTTTTTATAAGGGCTATTCAAATCTTTATTGTTCTGCTGCTGATTAGAACCACCTAACCATCCTTTAATTGTTGATAATATGCTTTTCTTTCTGTTATCTTTATTGTTAGGTAGCTGTATTGTTATTGGAGTGACAGATATATGTGGTATAGGGCTTACTGACCGTGAACTTAATGGACTAGTAAAAGATGAATATTTTTTGGGTGACAATGGTGGTGATGCTGTAGCAGTAATAGTTGTCAAAACAGGTTCAACCGCCTCTGGCAGTGAAAGGATCAAAGATTTTCGTCTTTCGCGTGAAGCTGGAGCTGTGTGATAAGTTTTCGGTGGTGGTGTAGGTGGTAGCATCTTTTCTGGAACTTTCATGGAATTTATAGCTATCTTTCCATCATAATCATCATCTTGAGATGATCTATTACTATCGACAGGTGAGTCCATACTATCAGGTTCCTCCTCAATATCATCCGCAATTTCTAACTCATCCCCACTAGTACCAACAGCAACGTCCACCATTGTTACTGAACTTTGAGCACCTTCAATCTTCCTTTTTTCTCTTAGTTTTGTTAATAAAAGCCACCAAAGTCCACTCGCAGAGTCCACATTACCATCCAGAACACTATTTCTTATGGCTTGAACATCAAAACCTAAACCTTCAAGTTTTTCTAATAGTTCTTTTTCTTCAGGAGTTGTAAAAAATATTTTTTCATTAAAAGTCTTACTATCAATCGAAGACCTTCTAGATGACTTTGAAGTTGAAGGTCCCAAAGTTTTCCGAGTTGTAGAAGCACTAGTAGAACCATTATCTATCGCAGTTGCCATTCCTGCCAATCGCGTTTGAAATGCAGAAGGCGCGATGTCATTACCTTTACGAATAAATCCAGTTGGATAATAGTTTTGTATATTTTGTTTTTTCGTCGCTAAAAAAATTTCCTGCCGCTGTCGTTCAAGATGACTCATTGCGTCATTATTATTTCCCGATCGTATTATCGTTGCTTGTTTCATAGGTTCCTTTTCATTTTTCTCTTCTAGAGAAGATATAGATTCGTCGTCGGCAACTTCTTCATATGTATCCCACTGGTCGTCATCATCGTCTTCATCATCATCGTCGTCATCTTTTATCGTAAACCATGCATGTTGTAGAATCTGTTTTAACGTTGGTCGTTCTTTTGGCTCAAGTTGTAATATTGATTGTATGAGATCTTTAGCCTCTGATATTCATAATTATATGAAAAGTATTGTGGTGTGCAAATAACGATTAATATATATATATATATTAAAATAAATAAATAAAAAATAAATAAAAAAAATAAATAAATATTATTACCATCTGATAAAAATTCTCCCATTTCATATTCGCCTTTCATTATTTTTAGTTTCATTTCATTCTCATCATCATCATCAAAAGGAAGTGAGCCACAAAGCAGCGTATATAGAATAACCCCCAACGACCATATGTCAATTTCTACAGTCAGAGAATTGATGATGAATAATTAACTTGATTTTATAGTTGCTAGCATTAAAATATTTCTTTACCTAGGCCAGAATATTTTTTACCGGTGAGCATTTCTAAAATATCAAAAAAAGTAAATAATTAATTAACGTGTAATGAATTATATACATTATCAAAAATTAGATCATATAATGATTGTAATTCATATGCTCATATTTCTCTATTTCTATACGTGGAAATTTTCATTAACCATAATAAATCATACCCCCGAAATTGACCGTAAAAAAACATATCACATGCCTGGAGCGGAATAACCTGTTGAACCACATATCGTCTCTAATAATTTTTTACTTTCATATTCTCTTGTAAAACCAAAATCTCCTAATTTTATATTTTTGTGAGCATCGAGAAGAATGTTTTCTAGTTTAAGATCCCTACAGAGTACATCATAGTAATAATATTCCATAACGAAAACAGAAATTAAGACATTGTTTTAAGAACAGATTAATAAACTAGGGTCCCATTTCTTTTATTTCCTGAGCTTTACCTATGAACCACTCTTCTGTCATGACAATATTTAACTGCCCGACATAATTGTCCAAACATTTTTCTGGCTAGATTTTCTTTTAGGCGTTTTCGATTAACTAAAAAATCAAATAATTCACCCCCTTCACAATATTCTAATACCATATAAATTTTGTTTTCGGTTGGTATAACTTCGAATAAGGAAATGATATTAGGATGATGTAAATATCGATGATGATGTATCTCTCGAGTTAGATTTTCCGCGTGAATTTTAGGTATTATTTTTATGGCGACCTAATTAAAAAAAAAATTACTAATAAATGAATTTGTAAAAAAAGGATGTAAACTAAAAACACAAAACGGTACCTTTTGACCAGTCAACTTGTGAGTCGCTAGCTTTACTTTTCCATATGTTCCTGATTAATTAACGTTACTTTTTAACTTTTAGAAGGGATAATAATAAATCAGACAAAATTTAATATCATTTTTACCTTCACCAATTGTATCCTCTAGAATATAATTACCCACAGACTTTATGTCTTGTGTTGATAATTCTTTTAATAAATCTTGATAATCAGCGACAAGCTAACGATCAAGGCATTACCGAAGAAATTGAATAAATGATTTAAAATAAGTAATGTGATTCGTAATGGTATACGAAAATTAGGGATGTACTAATATAATGTGTGTTGTGAAATACCTTTGCTTTCTGATTATTTTTTAACGTTCGCGTCCCATAAGGCATATGCATGTCGTCCAGCAACGTTGTTTATGATAAATGGGAGTAAGTTCGCATATAATTTATCAGAGTATTGAAAGTAATATATAAGGAAAAAAATAATATTTATGTTTATACACAAGAGGACAAAGGGTTATATTGTTTTTTCTATGCGCACAAAAATAATTCTCCGGGCAGGTCCGCGGTAGTGGGTGAGTGTCCAAAAGTACCTTGCTAAAACAACAAATTCTAAATCAATGCAAGGTTTCTAAAAAGTGATGAAGCAGAAAAGTTAAATGTAGTATAAATATGTATTTGTATACCAGACGGCGCCTCGAAAGAAGGCAAATTACACGGCAAAATAAAAAGGGATGAAGGGAAAAACAAAGGAAGAGCTATACAATAAAAAGAAATAAAGAACGGAAATATAGTTGGGGGAGCGAGAATTTGAAACGGGCGGGAAGGGTAAAGCTTATTTGTCCCGACTTTTTTTTATTGCAAACGGGGGGCTCTTCTCGGGGCGCCTGAATAGTATTTTTTTTTTTTTGTTTTTTTTGTTTTTTCTCGTTGGGGGTAAAAGGGAGGAACCGTGAATTTTGAGGGTGCCAGAAAAAAGTCTTTTCATTTTTTTGCCTATTATACCTATTTAGCTCTGAATTTGGCATTGTGATGGTCATCAAATTAGGCATTTAGACATCGTACCTCAAAAAAATACCATCATACTCATCAGCCTTCTTGCAATTTATTAGTTATCCTTTAGTGTATATTTAATATTAATATAGCATTCAAAGACTTTTGTCATTCATATATTGTCAGAAGTTTTGTTTTTTTTTTGGCTTTTTCTAAATAAAATGACAAATAAATGAATTCGAGAAAGCCCGAGGTGATACCTTTATATAAATGAGATAATCTGTACCTTTAAAAAAGTATTGAATATCAAAATTTATTGATTGTGACTAAAGGCTATCGAGTACAATGGAATTTTATAATCGAATGTATTCGAAAACGGTTCCTTCGGAGTATTAAATATATAAATGAAAAAAGATGAGGCCTTTTATAAAAAAAAGGCCCGATATTATGCTAATACGGTAGTAAATTAAAAAAAAGGGGCTATTAAGAAGGGGTCTAAGAATAGTTGAGCATATCGATATTGCATGCATTCTAATCGCAAATTACCGGTAACAAGTTGGAATTCTCATCGTTTTTTGTTTAAAGCTTCGCTACGGTTTCCCAATTTCATATAAAAGCGGCTAAATCACGCAAGAAATAATGGAACACAAATCTCATATTTGTTCTCCACTTGAATATCATGTAGATCAATAATGATATGTTTCAATCAAATCTTGGATACGCAAAATGTAGGTAACAAACATTTATATCAAAAAAAGACTATTAGGCATGCTTTTTTTTCTTCACTCAGTGTGAAAATTTAAGCGACTCTTGACAAGTAAGGAATGATGTCTCGTACGGTAGTGTCATTAGAACCTTATCCAAAAAACGTTGCAGAGAAGCAGTGAAAAAAAGAAACCAAATTGATAAACAAAGAATGACACCACAAGAAAGGGATAGTCTATAAACCAATCGCTAACCTCATTTTTAAAAAATTCATTTCCAATAGGGGAATAAATGCTACAATCGAAGATCCCACGTGGATGTGCATTGAACATCTTTTGTCGCCTTTTCCTATAAATGTATAGGTACTCTCACGCCGAACCTTTCACCTTTGGTCGAAGTTTGGGGTATTTTTCGTTGGGTCATTTTTCAAAACGAGAGCTGTGCAATGTTTACAAATAAAAAAATCTTGTTTAGCTTATGTCACTTTACGTAAGGATTACGAATATGGCAAAACTTGGTGGTATGTGTGTCAACTAACTCCACCTTTCCTGTCAACATTCACATTATCGTATATGATTATCTCAAGAAGTACACATGCAAGGCGAACTTATCTTTTGCCACGCTGACATCCTCGAGCACGGATTAAGATGCAAGAATTTCTTTATTCCTAACAAAGAAAGAAAAAATATGGGAACGAGTCATAACGATTGTGTCACCTTATTATCAATATATAGATGAAAACACAATGTAATAAAATAATGTTGTGTTTATGCTTTGTTCACAAAATGAAATGGATTAAAGAAACACTAACTTTTCAAGGAAATCGGCGTAATCTTGTAATTAATTCAATTTGACGTCAGTCATTCCCAATTTATGTATTTATATTGCATTGTCGACAAAAATAAGTCTTGGTGATCTTCGATGTCTCTACAAATAGCGACAAACAAGAATTTATATTCAAATATAATCAAAAACTAGAATAGATGTAAGTACTTACGTACGTAAAAAAAAAAAACAATGCAATGCATCCAGAAATCGCATTATATTGCATAGAATAGCCTATCTTCTATCTTCTCAGTAGCTTGACACTGATATATGCAAGACCTTTTCCTTTATGTCATCAAGTCCCTTTGTTCTTCCACTCCACAAAACAAATAAATCTACCTCGGTGTGCATTTTGTGCATATTGTGCATCAACATACGGACTAATTAGGCTAAATTTAGTGAATCATAAATTGGAGTAACTTGATAACATGATTTTGGAAAAAGCCTATGTAAATTAAAATCCTATAAATAGTGATTTCAAACTATTTTAATATGCCAATTCAAATCACGTGCATTTAATTCTTAATATGTATATTGGGCCCGCTAAGCACACCGAGAGTAAATTATATTCTAGATATATAATATCAATGTAACGTATGCATCAAAAAGCATCAAAAATTAAATTCGAATTCATCAAGTGTAACCTTTTTTTTATCTGATCCCCTACATCTAAAGCCGTATTCAATCACGTGAATTAAAGCAATAAGGAGATCAGTCTATTTATATAACCAATCAAATTCTATGCATATATCACTTAATTGAACATGGCTTAAAATATTATCGTTATACGTTCCCATTTTTAATTTCCTCTTTAGGATTGTGCCAGTATAAATGATAATGGCATAAAAATCAAATTATTGTAGATTGCCTTTACCACAATAGGCTCTCAGAAATATTAATTCACGATAATTTCTAAATGATAACATGTGTATGAGTCATGCAATATAAGCAATAATCTAGTAAAAAAAAATAATTATAATTCACAGAAAAATAAATCTTAATATTTCACAAAGCATTCTCATAAAAGAACGCATTTCGATCAACAAATAAACAAATTGGCTTCTCTATTCTCAAAATAAAAAGGCCGACAATCTCATCTACCATCGCTATAAAATCATAATTCCGTCTGTAAATTAATGATATTGTTAGAAATGGACTTACACGATGTAGTTCTGAATAAAATAATTCCGTATTTCAACATCAGTACTTCATCTTAACATTGTTCTCTTGTCCATTTCATACAATAGCATTCTCCAACAAATTGCGCAGTCATATCTTCCAAATAACATACTATCTTCTGATACTTTTCGCCCAAGCTTCAACATCTACATTGGCCTCAGCCGAAGCTTTAACATATCGATGTTTCTGTTTTTATTTTTTAAAGATGATTAATTGTTAGTGGATTCTTTGATTTTTTTTTTTAAAAAAAAAAGGAAGGATGTTTTCCCCACCAATAGATCGTTAGGTGCTGGCCGAATTTTTACATCTTTCAACAAACTATTAAAGAATAATAGAAATGTTAGAATACATGCAATGTTTAAATATAAATAATACATATATATATTCCACATACCACTGATTAATGAAATCAGAAAAGTCTTCAGGGAATTGATCTTGTGGTAGTTTTGGCGCTGGTTCATGTACAATGTGTTGTAAAAGCTCCAAAACAGTAAGCTGACTACCATCTGGAGGAAACGGAAACCGACCCATTGCCAACTCCATCAAAGTAATACCGACTGACCAAACATCCGATCGTACGCTGTATGAGGCACCTTGGATACGTTCAGGCTATGGATTCATTTAAGAATAGAATTAATAACATAAACTTTGTTTTTATTTTATTATTTTTAATAGGATTTAATGCAATGGGATTTGTTAAAATTTGGGTGTGATTGAAAAATTCCGACATCATATTGTTTCTAGTGTCAACTTACAGACATGTAATTTGATGTTCCCACAAATGTATCTGCTATTGAGTTAATAAGTTTACCAGATACTCCAAAATCACAAATTTTGATTTGTCCTTTTGAATTGACAAGAATATTTGATGGTTTCACATCTAAGATCATAACAAAAGAATGTTGTGTAAATTTAAGGTAACGAATTTTTTTATTGCTGTATGTTAAAGATCTCAAATTACCTCTGTGAATAATTCGATGACTCTCATAAAGATAATTAAGACCTTCTAGAACCTTTTAATAAAATCGAATTATGAACCTCATATAAATGCAAAATATTGATAGAAAATTCTTCATTTCAATAATTTACCGCTATTGTAATCTTGCCAATTATGTCCAGAAGAATGGGTCCATTTTTCTTATAAATATTATCAAGTGAACTATTATAAAATGTATAGCAAATTTTAATTTGCTAAATGAATCTTCAGAGTAGATATTCATATACGTATATAACTTTACCCAACATCCATGTACTCCATACACATAGAAATACCAGAGTCACTTGTGAATGCTCCATAAAATGAGACGATGTATCTTGAATTACAATCATGAAGAACTTGGAGTTCTCGTTGAATTTGTTTGCGAACGGTCGGATTAACGTCGATGTGAATAATCTGATAGTGAAATTTTTAAACGTGTTTTTCTAATTAGAATCGTTTGATCCCGATATGTTATGCGAACTCTAATTTGTTATACCTTCTTAGCCATCACAGTCTTCGTGGTAATGTGCATGACCTGCGTCACTGTACCTCCATTGCCTGCACCGACTTCTTTCAATGGCATCAAATCTTCTGCTTTTAAATCCAGCCTGAACTCTAAACCGATTTGTAGATCTTTTAAGCTCTGAGTAAGTCCATCTTCCTGTGGTCCATTTAGCGATTGCTGAGAAACAAGCGGAGAACTAGTGCTATTGAG